TGTGTGTGTGTGTGTGTGTGTATGTGTACGTATGTGTTTGGAGGGGGCTTTTTTTCCGGATTATGTATGTATTTATGCGCGATTGTATATGACCTTTTGCGTCCCCACTCTGAATCACTCGGAATCCCACGTTTTCACATGATGGCACGTCATTGTAGGTGTCTTTCAGTTCCCTGTTTTTTCCTCGCCCGGTTCGGGGATTTTGTGTGTGCATGACTGATTGATTTGTAGGAAATGAGTGCAGCGGAGATATCCAGCGAGAAGCAGGCGATCCCGATCACGGAGCTGGATGTGCAGCAGCTCTCCTATTTGCAGCGTCAGATCGACCAAGAGATCACCTTCCTCACCGAATCGCTAAAGGTATGTGCCCTCCGAAAGCTGAAATTTTTTACTTTCACTGCCAATAAATCCGTTATCCATTTGCTTCTAAGTAATCCTTCGAAAGAGTGCACCGTGTTGTTAATTGAATGAGTTTCTTTTGGCACTTGCTACCATTGGGTCCGCTTCGCACTGGATCCTTCTCCCACTGAGAGTGATCACAGAAGGGGTTTTGAGGTGACTAACAAATATCCCATTACCAGAAAGTCATATTTACTTGGATTACCCGAGTTGAACAAACACTGTCTCATCGTACTGTTCCATACCCAATTAACATCCACAGAGTTTATCAATTAAATAAATTTACACTTCTCGAAATGAGAAATGGCCAAGGGGTTGTCCATTTTTTCCGGGCCATACCTGGGAAAGTGGGGGACGAGGGAGAGAGGGGGGAGGAGAAGTTTTTGTTAAAAATTTGAGGTGATTTTTATTCGTTTTTTTTTTTTTTTTTTCGCACATTTATGCAAATGCAAAAACGTACATCCCTATCACTCTCGTTTTCACTTTTATGAAAGAGCATAACTGAAATAATGACGATTTTTGTAATATCACTGTTGTACTGTTTCAGGAATTAAAAATTTATGAATCGAAATTCTTGACAAGCGAAGAATCAGTGGAAAACTCATCAAAGCTAACAGTTAATGGCGAAATTTTGGTACCGCTTACTGATTCGGTAAGTCTTCTTATGTGCTTTATTACATGCATCTCAGCTGTATTTAATGCCTATCCGGCTCACGATTCTATCATTCTGTTAGCCAAAATCGGGCTTCAGTTTTGTTGAGAATGCATTAATTAGTTGACATTTTTTATACGTTTTTTTTGCAGCTGTGCAACTCAGAAAACACATATTGACGAGGGTTTGCCTGTGTGTGTATGTCTGTCTGTGTGTCTGTGTATGCGTCTGTATCGATTTTTATAGCAAGACCTATAAAAGCTACAGGGCTGAAACTTGGGGTCTTAATTTACATGCACGTGCGTGCCCCAGCCCCTAAAATGGGCGCTCTTACCCGCATGGTACCCACGTACGGGCCCGCCAAAGTTTTTGGCAGGAGAACTGCTAACTCGGGAACCAGAAAAGCTAGAAAACTGAAATTTTAAGGAGATGTTCCCTATCCATCTAGGTATTAATATGCTGAAATCCAGCCCCCGGGTATGCGTGGTTCCCATGTATGGGTCCGTTGAAGTTTTTCCCGGATAAGTTTCTAACTCGGGAACCTGAGGACCTACAGTACTGGAATTATAAGGGAATATTCCCCGTCCACATGGGGATCAATGAGTTCAAACCCAGTCCTCGGGTAAGCGTGGTTCCCACGTACGGGCCCATGAAGGTTTCGGGTAAGTTGCTAACTCGGGGACCTGAAAAGTTAGAAGACTGGAATTTTGAGGGGATGTTCCCTGTTCACTTAGGTCCTAAAAAGTTCAAACCCAGCCTCCGGGTATGCGTGGTTCTTGCGTACCAGTCTATGAAAGTTTTTTGCGGATAAGTTATTAACTCGGGACAAGGAAAGCTAGAAAGCTGAAGTTTTATAGGGTTGCTTCATGAAAGTCGGGCATGCAGTCTCAATTCTTTTAGCTAGAAGCATCTGTTGGAAAAAGCAATGCCGTCAGCAGCGAAAATCTGCGAGGAATTATGCAAAAAACGCATCTGAGCACCGGCAGTTGGTGCGCTGGCAATTTTTTTTTTTTCTTTTTTGTTCAATTGCGAAGGGGATTTCAGATGTATATTCCGGCCAGAGTAGC